AAAAATCCCCTTGCCGTCGAGGTTTCACTGCTCCCTGGGAATGAACGTGACAAAGGTACCTCCCGCGGGTGTGTTTCCAGGGTCAAAGTGCATCCTTCCCGGCCTGCCAAGGAGCCCTACGGCTCCTGGCGAAGAGCGGCCGCGTCCTCCCCATCTCGCCGCCAAGGGATGTGCCAGGCTTTCCCCTTTCTGATACCCTAAGGCTGGGAAGTTTCCCTTTCATTCCTCGGCGTGAAAGGAGGCACTGCAGACGGGCAGCGTGTCACCATGTCCCTGAGGGGCCCTGAGCCCAGCTGAGTGTGTGGCTTCCCCTGCCCAGCTGCACCAAGTTCCTCCCAACCTCTGGAGCTGGGCCTGGGCCTGGCGAGGCTCACCCCGTGCAGCGAGGAAAGGTGAAGCTGCTGTTGGCCCCAGGGGAGCTTGTGCATCGTCTGAACCCCAGCTGCTCTCCCACCTGTGCTGGGGGATGTGATGCCGCCGCGGGGCCAGCGGAGGGAAGCCTTGTGCTGGGGGGTTTAGGAGGCTGGCTGCTGGCCTTTCAGTCCTTGTCATCTCCTGGCTGCCTAGGGACAGAGGTGCTGGGGTGGGGGAGAAGGAAGGCAGGTGTCTTGAAATCCAAGTTGGTTTAGTACTCCAAGTGTACAGAGCAGGAAGATGGGTGAAAAGCTTCTTGGGGAGTCAAGGTAGCGTGGTCCTGATGTGGAACTCGCTGCCAAGGGATGTGCCAGGCTTTCCCCTTTCTGATACCCTAAGGCTGGGAAGTTTCCCTTTCATTCCTCGGCGTGAAAGGAGGCACTGCAGACGGGCAGCGTGTCACCATGTCCCTGAGGGGCCCTGAGCCCAGCTGAGTGTGTGGCTTCCCCTGCCCAGCTGCACCAAGTTCCTCCCAACCTCTGGAGCTGGGCCTGGGCCTGGCGAGGCTCACCCCGTGCAGCGAGGAAAGGTGAAGCTGCTGTTGGCCCCAGGGGAGCTTGTGCATCGTCTGAACCCCAGCTGCTCTCCCACCTGTGCTGGGGGATGTGACGCCGCCGCGGGGCCAGCGGAGGGAAGCCTTGTGCTGGGGGGTTTAGGAGGCTGGCTGCTGGCCTTTCAGTCCTTGTCATCTCCTGGCTGCCTAGGGACAGAGGTGCTGGGGTGGGGGAGAAGGAAGGCAGGTGTCTTGAAATCCAAGTTGGTTTAGTACTCCAAGTGTACAGAGCAGGAAGATGGGTGAAAAGCTTCTTGGGGAGTCAAGGCAGCGTGGTCCTGATGTGGAATGCATTTACACTGTGGAATAGTGGCTGGCACAAGATGTCTCTGTGAGGAACAGGGGAAAGCCTCTGTCTGTCCCTGCGGGTCTGGGTCCAGCCCAGCTGCCCTGGAGGTGGGCACCTGTAGGAGATCCTGGTTCTGGTTGACTGGGTCAGTAGAGAGGTGGGTTAGACCTGGTGGCAATGTAGATGTGACGTCTGGTAGGGCAAACACTGCCAGCATCAAAACCTCTGGTAAAAAAACAGGCTCTTTGCTACCTGTGGCAGGAAGTTTGGTGGCAGCCCTGAGAAGCTCCTCTGTGTATTTTCCAGTGCAAGTGCTCCAGAAGCTGAGCCTTGACTTAGGTCAGGGAATGGATCCAGCCAAGGCATTGCTGGTATTTGGGGGAGGGGGCAGAGCTTGGAAACGTACTTTGCAACCCCTGTACCCCTTTGCCACATCAGTGCTGGGGTGAGAGTGCGAGGTGCAGCATTGCAGCAGAAAACTTCATTAGGGAGCCTCACCTCAGGCAGCTCCAGTTGGGATCCTTGAGAGCTGGGCGACTTTACCAGGACACAGAGGTTACCTGGGCTGAATTCTCTTCAGCTGCATGGGAGCAGGAAGGTGGAAGCAGCATGTCTCACCAGCCTCAGCTCCACCAGGGACTGCAGTTGTCCTGGTGCTGTTGGGATTCTAGTGCCAGGAGGATTTCTCGAGATAATTGTTAGAAAATATCCATTCCTGATGAATTCATCTCAGGAAACTTGTTTCCATCAGCTGTATAGTGGTGTTTCAGAAGAGAGAGTAATTTCTTGACTTAATCTAAGGGAACGTTCACGTGTAGCTAAGTCATTGCTACCTGAGTAAAAGCATGGTTGTTCTACAGGGAAAACACCTGCTTTGCTTTTTCTGGAGCCTGGAAGAGACTGGTTTGCAGGGCAGCAGTCTCTGCTTTTGCAAAATGATGAGACATTTTGCCTTAATGAACAAAATAACCCCAGACTTTAACTCACCGTGTCAGTTTCCCTGACAGCCTCTCCCAGGGCTTGCTGGAGGTGAACGTGTTCGGCACCCTTTGTGTTTGCAATTCTTAGAGCACGTTTTGTTTTCAGAGGTGAAGGAGCTTTAATACCACAGGATGAGCTTCTCCACGCGAAACTCTGTGTTGATGTTCTTACTCTGTTCTCAGCTAGTTTTCTTTGGAGTTAATTAGAATTGGCTGGGCACCTATTTAGCTAAATCAAAATAATACTGTGGTTTCATATACACTTCCTTTGGCAGACATCGTGGATTTAGCAGATTCTGTGCCAGGCTGTGCCTTCTCTCCCTCTTGGTGAAGCTGATCTAGGAGCTAGTATGGGCTAAACCTGTCCATCCAGGGGAAAAAAAAAAAAAAAAGAAAGTTTCAAACAGAGATCAACTTGCTGGTCAAATTTACTGGGACACTGCACCAGTTCAGTGCCACAGTCGGAAGGGCGAGGGGAGAGAAGGGCTAAAACAGTTTCTTCAACAGCTTCTTCTGCTTGAAGCCAGGCATGTGAAACCATGCCCTAGTTGTGTTCTCCAAGGGGTTTCTGCTAGTTTAATTACATCCCTTTAAAGTCGCTTCAAGCTGCACCAGTGCAGACGGGAGGTTGCTGCTTTCCTTGTGCCGACTCCAGGCGTGTTGTGACCCGGGGAGGCTGCAGCTGGCTCCGGCTTGGCGTTGCAGCGGGAGGCTGCTCATCCCTGCCTTCCCCACTAAACTTCCTGGTCCGCCTTCTTAAGGATGCTGTTCCTTTGCTGTTTGTGCTCGAGACCACGTCTCTTGTTTGCCTGGTTTATTCCTCCTCTTCGTTGAAATCTTGATTCTTTTGCTCTTCTGTTCTTGGTTCCCTGTGAAATGCCTGTCTTTGGCACGTGTCCCACATCGTCCGTAGAGGAGAGAGGCCAAGAATTCATGAAACAGTGTCTATCTCTGTTGTTACGTCCTCCCAGCTCTCTTCTTGTGGCCTCCTCTGTTGACCAGCTCTTACTCAAAATGTGCTGTTTCTCCCAGCCCCTCACACCACCCTGTTGCCACTTTTCTCTTGCCAGACCTGTTCTCAGGTCCCGCCTGATCTGTGCTTGTTTGGGGCTCCAGCTCCTGTCCCACACCACGTGGCCGTGTCAGCCCCGTCTCCCCTGGCACAGAAGGTCCCTTCTCATTTCTCCCAGAACATCTGTCCTGCTGCTGTGCTCAGGGGCAGAACCTTTCTCCTCCCCTTCTTTCAGTTTAGCCTAAGATGGTGAAATCCCCGCAGATTGTTTGTTCCCCTATTTCCTTTATGTTGCATTTCTCTCCAAGCACTGAAAGACTCCTCCCCTTCCTGCTCCAAGCCACCTCTCACTCTCTTTGGGTATGACCCTGCTCTCTGTCTCACCATCTGCCCCACTCTCCCTTCACTATCTAGCATTTCTTCCATCTTACTGTGTGTTTTAGCAGGTTTCCCCCACATCTCCTGGCCTCTCATTTCCGTGGTCTGTTTGCTCGCTTGTGCCCTCGTACGTGCAGATGAGTCTTTTTTTGCAAACAAGCTGCCTTGCCCCCACTTCCCCTCTGTGCCCGGCCCTCCTCTGTCCGGAGGATCCCCACGGGCACGTTTGGGCTGAGGTGAGGACACCCAGCAGTTCAGAGGAGTCGTTCAATCCCAGGGCTCAGTCCCCTGAGCTACTAGATCCCTGCAGTGCTCGTTCCGGCATCAGCCGATGGTGCAAGCTGCTTCTTGTCCTGTGCTTGTGTCGCCTGGGGTTTGTCAGGAAAAAGAAAACTGATGGAGATTTGGGATCACGTGTGGCTTTCAGCTTCTTGCCACTCTCACCTGCTGCACCGAGAGCGTTGCCGTGGCTCTGCGCCTGCTTTACCTCCGGGTATTCAGTGCTCCTGTGAACCAAGAACCTCCTTGACAGCCTTTCTCTGCCTTTTGCAGTCAGTCCTACTCGGTTCGACCGAGTCCACTTGTTAGCACAGTAGATCCCCTCTTCCTTCGTTGCCGTTTCCCTGACATGACTTGAGCAGCAAAGCTGCCTTAATGCTTGAACACCCAGTGCTGCACGATTGGCTGCAACGTTCTCCCTCGAAAGCTCCACCCAGCCGACCGTGCGTCTTGGATGCTCACGAATCACTGGGTTTCCCCATGTTTTCCACACGTAACTCTGCTGAATACCAGCACCTTCCTGACAGAGGGAGGGGATAATCACTTGATGGCACTGTCTGCAAACCTCTGCTCCCCTCCGGGATCCCCTAGCTGCCCCTTTGTTTGAGACTTTCCCCCTTGAGCTGGCCATGTGCTGGTTTTTGAAGGTCCTGTGAAGCCTTGGGGATGCCAACATTTTAACAGACCTTGGGTAAAGCTGTCTTGCCAATCACTACCCAGTGCTGGAGGTTCCTCAAGAGGGAGAGGAAAAGTGGAGGAATCTTTCAAGGAATGCATGTGTGTGTGAAGATGCCTGTGTGAAACTCTCATGGTATCCGGAGGCTTTTTGGGAATAGCCTTGTTTAATACAAGGATGAGTGGGCTGTGGCTTCCATCCCGAGGTGCTGCTGGTTTCTTCTAGCCCTCTTCCAGGCAGATGTGCAGCATGGTGGGGGTTGTGCCCCATCTGCCTGGCAGCAAAGCTGGGGGTGACCTTCTCTGAAGCACGGCTGCATGCGAGCATCCCGGGGAGAGGTACCCATCCTCTGTTTCTCCTTTGTAGGCAGAGTGGCCCCTCGAGCCCCAGCAGGTCCCGGTGGGTGAGGAGCAGCTGTCATGATCTCTACAGCACCTCTCTATAGCGGGGTGCACAACTGGACCAGCACAGAGCGGATTCGCATGTGTGGCCTCAACGAGGAGAGGTGAGGTGCGTGGGTGGCGTGGGAAGGGGGAGAGCAGAGAAAGGGCATCAGGGGGCTGGGAAGGGAGCTGGTGCTGGCTCAGCCCGTTTGTACCAGGTTGTAAAATGCCTCGAGGGGAGAAGGAGCAGCAGGGAGGGGATGGGGGGTGTGGTGAAATGGCCACATCTGTGGTGGTCCCCGTATCTCGTGTGCTGGAGGTCTCTGTAGAGGAACCCTGGCCTGTCTGTAGCTGTTCTGGTGTGTGACCAGGCTGAGTTGTCTGCATGTTCTGTGGGCTTCGCCAGACCTGTGCCCTTAACTGCCAGAGGACGGACAGAGCTTGACCCACTGCGAGCCAAGCTGCTTTTGGTGACCCAGGAGGGTTAGTGCAGACCAAATGATCAGATGGGAGGGTTGTGACATGCCACCAAATGGGAGATTAGGGAGGATTAGTGGCTGGGAGGCAGAATCGATCAGGAGTTGCTGGCCTGCCCCACGGCTCCGCATCGCCTTTCCGTTCCCGCAGCGCTGGGCTCTTGGTTTCGAATCCGATCAGTTTGTGGCTTTTTTGGGGCTCCCACGTCTGCTCAGCACGTTGGCTGGAGCCAGAAAAGTTTTACGGGCTGCGAGGCAGCGCGTGCCGGTCATTCCTGGCCGCGGGGCCGGGGCGTCGTGCGGGGCGTCGTGCGGGGCGGGCACCGCGCATCG